ACCTGGCGCGTGATTCCCACAGAAGAGTTCCAGTTGGTGGTTGGTTTACCACCCCTCTGAAAATTGGTCAGTTGGGATGATTATTCTTATTATATGGAAAACAAAAAATGTTCCAAACCACCAACCAGTATATCTTTTCATGCTTTTTCCTTTTTCTTTTTCTTTTTATGTTGATTAGTATCGTCATTTATGGCAAAATCATGGTAATCAGAAAAGATTAACGTATTGAACCACGCTTCACCAAGCGGTTCCCCAGTATTTGGGCATGGCTCGAAAAAAATCAGACCCTGGGACCCACAATTCATGGTCAGCTTTGTCAAAACATCCAATGTTTGAATATACCCTCTGGTAATTTAACATAGCTATTGAAAATCACCATTTTTAATGGGAAAATCCACTATTAATGGTCATTTTCAATAGCTACGTTAAATTACCAGAGGGTACCCAGAGCAAACTAACAGTTCGATGTGGGAAAGCCATGGTTCCCTAGGAAAATGATCTGCACCACACCGCGCGTGACACCATGGCTGGAACAGGGGATGAAGATCTACAATTACCAGCTATATTGATGTGGAAGTCTGCGGATTCAGAGTGAACTGACCCCCCAGCCGTACTTGTCTTTCATCAAAAGAAAGGAGAGTGAAGTCATCAACAACTCTTGGGTCTTTGACGCCCCAAGCACCGTTCACTGATGGGACTTGAACATTCTTGGGGGATGCAGTTGTGAATCTGAATCATCGGCCGAGTTTGGCAAATCACTTGACATTGCTTCACATGTGCATTTGACGTGAAGGATATCAAGCACTTAGAGTGCTGATTTCTACCAAGGTTTCCCTAGGACGTCAAAGTTACAACCAGCCAAAGCTGACAGTCGGGTTGACCTGATGATCTTGCTACATGAGAAGCACTAGCAACATGTTCATCCATCCGAATCCGATTTCGGGTATCTCCCCATGGATGACAATCCCTATGGATCAATGTGGTCTACATCTATTTACCCCAAGTTTTCACAATGACCCTTATGATAATGATATGTTATGATATGATACAACTCGAAATGCTTCGAATAAAACTGCAAAGCAGCAACACATGCCAGCAAGGCTTGTTCCAGTTCCAGTGCCACTTTCTGTACCGCTGCTACTGCCAGTGCCAGAACCGGTTCCAGTACCACTGCCAATGCCAGTACCTGTTCCGACAGTGCCTGACCCACTGCCACTTGTGCCGCTACTAGTACCTGTGCCAGTTCCTGTCCCCGTGCTGGTGCCTGAACCACTGCCAGTGCTGCCGCTGCTGGTCCCCGTGCCGGTACCAGATGTTCCAGTGCCAGTGCCAATGCCAGTTCCGGTGCTAGTGCCTGACCCACTGCCACTTGTGCCGCTACTAGTACCTGTGCCAGTTCCTGTCCCCGTGCTGGTGCCTGACCCACTGCCAGTGCTGCCACTGCTGGTCCCCGTGCCGGTACCAGATGTTCCAGTGCCAGTGCCAATGCCAGTTCCGGTGCTAGTGCCTGACCCACTGCCACTTGTGCCGCTACTAGTACCTGTGCCAGTTCCTGTCCCCGTGCTGGTGCCTGAACCACTGCCAGTGCTGCCGCTGCTGGTCCCCGTGCCAGTACCAGATGTTCCAGTGCCAGTGCCAATGCCAGTTCCGGTGCTAGTGCCTGACCCACTGCCACTTGTGCCGCTACTAGTACCTGTGCCAGTTCCTGTCCCCGTGCTAGTGCCTGAACCACTGCCAGTGCTGCCACTGCTGGTCCCCGTGCCGGTACCAGATGTTCCAGTGCCAGTGCCAATGCCAGTTCCGGTGCCAGTGCCTGACCCACTGCCACTTGTGCCGCTACTAGTACCTGTGCCAGTTCCTGTCCCCGTGCTGGTGCCGGACCCGCTGTCAGTGCTGCCGCTACTGGTCCCCGTGCCGGTGCCAGATGTTCCAGTGCCAGTGCCAGTTCCAGTACCTGTTCCAGTGCTGGTGCCTGACCCACTGCCAGTGCTGCCGCTACTGGTCCCCGTGCCGGTGCCAGATGTTCCAGTGCCAGTGCCAGTTCCTGTCCCTGTGCTGGTGCCTGACCCAGTGCCAGTGCTGCCGCTACTTGTCCCTGTGCCGGTGCCAGATGTTCCAGTACCAGTGCCAGTACCTGTTCCACTACCAGTTCCGGTACCAGTGCCTGTGTCGGTTCCAGTACCACTTCCAGTGCCAGTACCAGTGCCGGTTCCAGTGCCGGTATCAGTGCCACTTCCAGTACCGGTACCAGTGCCAGTGCCAGTTCCAGTGTCGGTTCCAGTGCCGGTACCACTGCCACTTCCAGTGTCGGTTCCAGTACCACTTCCAGTACCAGTTCCAGTTCCAGTGCTGGTACCAGTTCCAGTGCCAGTTCCAGTGTCGGTTCCAGTGCCGGTACCAGTGCCACTTCCAGTGCCGGTTCCAGTACCACTTCCAGTGCCAGTAGCAGTTCCAGTGCCGGTGTCGGTACCAGTTCCAGTTCCAGTGTCGGTTCCAGTGCCGGTACCAGTGCCAGTTCCAGTACCACTTCCAGTGCCAGTACCAGTGCCGGTTCCAGTGCCGGTGTCGGTTCCAGTGCCACTTCCAGTGCCGGTTCCAGTGCCGGTACCACTGCCACTTCCAGTGTCGGTTCCAGTACCACTTCCAGTGCCAGTACCAGTTCCAGTAGCAGTACCAGTGCCAGTAGCAGTTCCAGTGCCGGTGGGTCGTTACCCAAAACAAGTTCCAGGTAACTGCCCACCCGTTGGAGGATCGCTCTTGTAGTTCGCGACCCGGAGAAGGATTCATCGGGCCGGCTAACCGACATATGAGCCCGTACTTCCAGTGCCAGTACCAGTTCCAGTAGCAGTACCAGTGCCAGTAGCAGTTCCAGTGCCGGTGTCGGTACCAGTTCCAGTTCCAGTGTCGGTTCCAGTGCCGGTACCAGTGCCACTTCCAGTGCCAGTACCAGTTCCAGTACCACTTCCAGTGCCAGTACCAGTGCCGGTTCCAGTGCCGGTGTCGGTTCCAGTGCCACTTCCAGTGCCGGTTCCAGTGCCGGTACCACTTCCAGTTCCAGTGCTGGTTCCCGTACCACTTCCAGTGCCAGTACCAGTTCCAGAACCAGGGAAGAGGCCTGACGTGGTTTTGCTCAAAGCTGGAAGCTCTTTTTTTTAGGATATACCACCCGTGACGGTGCTTTCATTTGACACAGCAAGCATATTTATACAATGAAATCCTTTGACATCTGTTTTCAGAAGCAAGTTCCTCTTGGTCGGCATCAAAGTTGAGGGTATAAGTTTGTGCAATAGGGTCTATATCATCTTTACGCGGATTGCATCCCATTTGGTGTGGGCCAACTAATTCAGCATGAATACCAGTTGCCCTTGAGGAATCCAACGCGGCAAGTGAACATCCACCAGTTATAGATGATTTTCCTATCAAACCCCCATTTATGGGGGATTTTCCATTGCCACGGTTCATAATCAAAGAATATATTCAAATGGAGGTTTCTTGAAATAGGGGTACCTCTAAAGACTCAAAAAAATATCAATTTTCATAGGATTTTCCGTTATAAACCATCCAGCTATTAGGGTACCGCCAATTTATGAACACCCACAATAGGAAAAAAAAAGAAACACGAGTTCTATGTGGTGTATCCACCGACTGGGATGGGCACCCCTGGTTTGTCTGACGCTTCGCTTTACCCATTGACCTGGCTACTTTGGGGTATAGCCTATTTTCAGACACACCCATTTGCCAATTAGCTACTATCAATGGCTTTTGATTTAAAGGAAATCACACGGAACATCGCTGGTTTTCAGCATAAACATTTGGTTTTCCTTTGGGTTTTCTCTACAAAATCCGTTCGAGGTTCACATTGCTGGGGAGAAGTGGACCGTGTACCTGGAGCGTTACCGAACATGGATTCTTCTGAATATGGACAAACCAAATTCTAAGAGTTAAAAGCGTCATTTCTTCCACATATATCGCGAATCTCCAAGTGTCAAATCTGCGGATTTTCCCAATCCCAGCATGAAGGATTCCAAGGAAAAACCCGAAGCTCGGTCGGCGATAAGTGGAACCATGGTGATGCAATGTTTTTTGTCTTCAGAATTTGAGGATGTCTACTTATATCTGGGGAAATTTTCACCATATTTTGGTTGTTTACCAATGGAAATTCCTGTGAGAATTTGGGGTACCTTATTTTAGGAACCCCCATCTGAATAAACCAGTGAACTCGAGGGGCCAATCATGATGCAACGTGGCAACGTCACCATAGATCTGGGACCTATTTTCGAAGTGGACAATAACCATGTGACATACCAACCCTCTGGCAATTTAAGAGTTGGCGAACTGGAAACTCATCATTTTTAAGTTCGGTAAAACATTTTTCACTAAATGTGCCACGGCTTCCGAATCGCAAACTCCAACAAATTACTGGAGAGTAACTGCTGAAACATCGCAGCCACCCATCAGTGTCAGGTACTTTGCAAATAAGTGCATTCCATACAGGTAAGCCCTGGATTTGTGGCTCATCCCATTAATCTCAATGGGTTCTATTTATGGATACTCACCAGTGACTAAGTGGGGAGATGTCTCATATAAAGTTGCTTATATATATCCTATATCCCGATTGCCCACAAGATATCCCATTAAATAATCCCATTAACTTAGCCCTTTTACTGCCGCGTCTTAGATCAGCCTTCGGACACTCTTCGAGGGCCAGAAACACCTGGCTCCTGCCAATCTGAGATGCACTGATTTTTTTTTCCGAGATTGATGGCTTGTTAGATTTGTTCGTCTTTTTTCCCATGGTGAAAAGGTGAAATATCAAACTATATGTCATCTTAGTAAAGCTAGCGCAATGTCATAAACCAGCCATATAAATGGGTCGAAAAATCCCACCCATCAAAATGGTGAGTCATTGGGGATGGTAGATCCGATTGCTTTACTCTTTACTGACATGTTTTTTGCCTTTTTATTTTTCATCATTAACCATGGCTCAAATCCACATCAATTCAGCGCCGCCGGTCCGGTCCTGCCAAAGCTCCCCCAGACTTGGCAGAGTCACACCTGGCGAGATGGGGATCTGAGAGATTTGGCAATCAATTTGGATCCGAATGTCTGGTGGGAATGTCTGATGGGTTTAACAATGGTTAATGATGGTTAATGATTATCTGGTGGATTACCCTCTGGTAATTTAACATAGCTATTGAAAATGACCATTTATAGTAGATTTTCCCATTAAAAATGGTGATTTTCAATAGCTACGTTAAATTACCAGAGGGTATATTATATATATATACAATCTGGTTGGTGGTTGGTTTACCACCCCTCTGAAAAATATGAGTTCGCCAGTTGGGGTTACTATTCCCAATATATGGAAAAATGTTCCAAACCACCAACCAGATGTAGCAAACCCCCATTGACCATCCCCATTCCGCCACTTTTGATGGGATTCAAAAACTTCAATGGTAGTTGTTGATGGCAGAAAATGCATCACCTTTTGGAAGAGTTCACCCATCCGATGATTGCTCGATTGCTCCGGGGACCCGGTGTTACCCTTATTCAGATTTCATAGTCAACTCATTCCACAGAGTTTACGTCACAAATTTGAAGCTCCTTTCGAACCCCATCAAGATCAGTGGCATGGGTTAACAGTTGGAACTATCATCACCACCTGAAGCCCCAAGTATGTAATGTAATGCAATGCAGTGCAGGCAGTATAATATATGTACAGATCTACATCCCTCTTTTTCTCTCTGTATATTTGTATATCTGCATATTTGCATATCTATCTACATATCCGCCCATCCATCCGTCCGTCCGTCCATCCATCTCTACAACTCACCAACTGTTCAACCAACCAACTAACTATCAAACTTTCTAATGGGATAGTCAACTGTGTATACAGTATATATATATATATATATATCTATGTATCTACAAATATAATCTCATCTATAATCCATGTCACCATTCTTAGCATTCATCAAATACATTCCAAACAACTTTTTAAAGACCCTACAGCCTCCTGATGTCATAAAATCGTTATTGGCCATTGTTAGCCATTATTAACCACTATTAACAATCATATTCTATGGCTATGTCTAGAAGTATTTCATTATCCCATGAAACCACCAGAGTATTCCCATTATTATTCCCATGAAATTCACCACAGTCATTCTTCACCACCATTCACCAATGATTAATAATGATGGGTAATGGTTCATAATTATTCATGGTGAATGTTAATAATGGTACTAATCACCACATTCATCAATTTTTGTTACCCTCTGGTAAACTAACATAGCTATTGAAAATGGCAATTTATAGTGGATTTACCCATTCAAGATGGTGATTTTCCATAGTTACGTAAACGTTTACCCGACGGTAACCCCTTGGAAAACCACTATTCATGTTTATTAACCCGTATTATCCCATGAATATCCTGCTATATCCCATTGTTGTTGGGTTTATTAACCATTGACAATCTTAGATACCCTGCAAAAAATTTAATTCTTTGCTGGTGAAGGTAGATATTCCCATTAATACCAAAAGACTAGTTAGGATTATTTGGTATCCATCTAAGATTGACCTAGTAACCTTGAAAAATATGAAAGTCACTGGGAAGGATGACATCCCATATATGAAATGGAAAATAACATGTTCCAAACCACCAACCAGAAATTCTCCAGCAAATCAAATTAGACTTAGTGATTATTACTAGTGATTATGGATCATTCCCTCATTGTTATTGGCTTTATTTTCACCACATCCACCACCAACCAGAATGGCTTATGCCGCTATAAATGGAGGTTACCAATGAACATACCGGTGATTTCAGAGTTTGCTATGGTACAACCGCCAACCAGCCATTGTTATTGGGTTTGTTAATCACTATCAGCCACTATTAACCAGTCTTAACCACTATCAACCACTATTAACCACTATGAACCATGGTTATTGGCTTTATTTTCACCACATTCCCACCACCCCGGTGCGTTACTCATCCCGCTTCGCCGTGAATCGAATGGCCTCTGAGCTCCATGGGATCCAGGCGCCCGTCCCGGTTCCGGTCCAAGGAACGGAAGGCGGAGCCTGAGATCTCGCGGAGCCGGAGATCTCCGGGGAGATTTCTGGGGTGAAAACAGCTATAGAATGATAGTTGGATGATGTGGTTAGATAAACTAGTTATGGATGTGGTATATCTATAATTACTATCTATAGTTAAAATGTGGTTAAAATGTGGTTAGATAGTAAATGGATGTAAATGGTATATCTATATCTATAATGTGCTTTGAACAATGAATATACATGATAGATTATCGATAATATATATATATATGTATCAATAGAACGTATATAACTATATATCTATATCATCTATTCTCATTGATATTCTCATGTATCCCCAGTATATACACATGACTTACCCTCTGGTTATTTACCTATCTGAGATGCTATATAGAGTTGTATGTCTGGAAAACGGATATAGAAAGGACATACAACTATAGATAAATATAAGTCTACATTGTGTATATATATATATTTATTTATTTATTTATTTATTCATTGTTGTATATGTATGATTGTATCTATATTACCAACTCTGCATAGCTTTTCACGTAGGTGTGTATGTCTGGTGATACTACCAATTTGCGGGGGGCATGGGCCTTGAAAACTGCTGGTTGACAGCAACATCTGATGCCCTAACCTCTTGGATACGCTGCCCAAACACTTCCAAAAACTAGATTTTCAGCTGGTTAGTATTTATCCATGTTGGAGCAAAAAGGTTAATTTAGTACTATCCATCAAGCCGGTTGACCTAGGACCTTACTATTCAGCAACCTGCCGCCGTATCAAGTCCTTTGAGTTTCCCCACTGGCAGCGTCGCTCTGGCCCTAGCATTGAAGCATTGCATTTGGAGAACCATTGATTCCAATTTTATTGTTAAACCATGGTTAACAGTTGATTTTGTGTAAAGCCATTATCCCAATCTATTTCACTGGTAAAAGCATCGCAGAACTAAACCCGATTCTTGGCAGACTCTGGCTCCGCTGCGAAGTGACATGGATAGCTGGGTTTTTGCTGGAGGTGTTAGTAGAAGGTATTGGAATCTGCACATAAAATGGGGGAACCCCAAAACCATGGGTTTCAATACTAAAATGGTATAATTTGGATGATTTGGGGAGTAACCCGGGTAACCCCATTTTGGGGAAACTTCCATATTTTCCCGCAAACCATATTTGATGACACCAAAGGGTACATGGATGGACTCCAAATTTCGATTCATTCCAATCAGATTTATTTTCTTGGGAAGGCCCTCAAATGTTCAAAAAACAAGTTTCCATGGGTTTGAACATTTCTCATCTTAGAAATGGTTGGGCCGAACATTTTACCAACCACATAAGAGGTGGTGCCCCACACTTAGCTAAGTTGCTTTGTATATGAACTGTTGGGCTTATGGTAGATATACCGAGCTAGTTCATGCAAGATGGGGCCCCGGATAACGTTCAGTTGCCTAAAAAAAGTGGCTGAATTCGATGGTTTATGGTAGATATAACGAACTAGTTAATTATTATTTACCTCCAATAGCCAGTATATAACTATGATTATAACACTTCTAGCTATATTTAATGGTTAATGGATGTTAATGGGGTTATAAACCAACAGACATAACTGGGCACCAGCCACATTAGCCACCTAGTCTCAGGACTAATCTTAGGATTTGCCACACGCTAGGGCTCGAACAATCGGTCAAGCGGCAAGTCACTGGCTAATCCCCGAACTAAATGAAGGCTTGAATGGGAACATTATCTATATTTATGCACATATATTGTTATTATTATTATTATTAGGAAATACTATAATAATAACAATATTATATATATAGATATATATATATTTATATATGCCCCCCCAAGACCTACCTTTTGTGTAGCAAATAGGTTCCTGAATGTCTTCTTCCTTCTTATCTTATCACCTATTGTAGCTGGACACATCCTGCCCCAGAGTATAGCATATTATTATTTTTGATAAATACAACTTCTTGTAAGGTAATTTTTTATAATGATTACTGGTGGAATTCATGTTTACTAAAGTTCCTGTAGCAATTTGAAACCTTTTAGTTTCTACCAAAGCTGAGCTTTGTGCAAGATTAGGTGATATAGTGAGTGCATCTTGAGATTTCACATTTTTATAATGCAATTACTTTTTTCTTCCTCCTACAATTTCATAACATTCCATCAAACTTTGCATAGTAAATTGACAATAACTAATCATATTCTCATTTGATGTTAGAAGTTTTTTTTGTTCTTGTGAACCTACGTTCTTTCCATTCGCTTTTTCTTCAGCATCTACCATCTTTTTTTGTAGAAGAATTGTTTTTTTTGCTGTAATGATTTATGTTTAAAATCTGTATAATGTAGATGATCTTGTAATTTCATTGTTTTAAATCCAGGAGTGCTTGAGTTAGATATACTATCTTTTAAACATAAATGATTTTGATGATACTAAATTAGTAAGTAAACAAATATAGATCAGTTTTTAATATATGTGTCATATTATAATTTGTCTTACTTTTTTATAGTTCTCAATTTTGTGATATTTTTTTAAAGATATTATAGGCGTTTCTAGCATTGGATGAATATGTATTTTTACTTTGAAAGATCCTATATTTTTATTGGTTCTTTTAGCTCTATATTCTGAGGATCTAGTTTTAAATTAATCAAATTATTATCTTGGATATGTTTTTCAGATTGGTTTGTTTGCATTTTTTACGACAATATTCTACCATTTTAAGATGTGAACTTTGATAGCATTTCAGGGTTTTTACAGTCTATTACATTTTTTTCTAAACATAAATTGCGACCATGTTCTTTTAAAGAAAGTTTTCTTTGCCGATCTATCTGCAACCCTTTCTAATACATTTTGTTGGGAAGGTTTGAACTGATCTGTAGATAAAGAGGTATTGCTAATAATAATATGATGATAATAATAATAATATATATATATGGATGATTTGCAATTGCTATATTTGATTACCGGAGGCTCCAAACATTCTTTTTGAGGCCCACAACTCTGATGCCTCCGCTTGCCGATTCCGTTGGGCACGCAGTCGTCTTGAAGCGGCGCTGGCCTTGAAACTGGCTGAACTGGGTTGGACACAGGGATTCACCCATGGCTACCAGTAACTCAGTACCTCTGACTTTATGGTGATTTAATGGTGATTTCATGGTGTTTTAATGGGATTTCATGGTGATTTAATGGTGATTTAATGGGATTTCATGGTGATTTAATGGTGATTTAATGTTGATTTAGTGGGATCCAATGGTGATCTTCATGGAGGTTTAACCTCTGGTAAACGTTAACAAAAAACGATGGAAAATCACCATGCTATTAATGGGAAAACTCAATAGCAAACTGTTAGTTTACCAGAGGGTAATTGGGATGGAACATCATCTAGAAAATTGATGTTTTGTACTGGCTTAACAATGGAAAATCATGGGTTTGAGCAGAAATTCTTCACATAGCGATAGGGAATACTCCGTTCCTGAGAAATAGGACAATCATCTAAACACATAGTTGATTTTGGGGCCATTTTCCAGTGCCATGTTCTAGTGGCTAAATATGCGCTAAGCCCAATGCCATAAACCATCCACGATATTACCATAAGATTTTTACATGGGTGGTTTTCCACAATCATTCCCAAACGGGATGTTTACGCATTCGGTTTACCACATTAATCTGGGTAAATTATTCAATATTTCACTAAAATTCTTTTAGAAATAATCAGTATATCCTCAATATCCCACTCATGCCAGTTATCTGGGTAAATTATAATATTTCACTAAATTATACCATCTGGTTATTTAGCATAGCCATGGAAAATCCAGCCATTTTTAAGTTCGGTAAACCATCTATTTCGATTAGGGCCATCGAAAAACCATGGCTATGTTAGTCATAGCCAGAGGGTCATATTTCACTAACCCAGATAAAGTTCGGCCTTTAAAAAAAGGGGATGAACAAACATCCGAAAACCCATGGATGCCACGGCTCGCTCGGTGAGGTGATGATGTCTTTACCCAGAAAAATATGTAAATCCCAAAGAATGATGGCTGGTATACCATTATTAACCATTGTTTGGGATTATATACATATATAATTAATTATAGTACTGGTGTTATTAACCCTTTTTAACCATAGTTTAACTAGTTATACCATTTTCCCAGCCGTACTCTGCGCCGACCAGTCCGGACGGACTCAATGAAGGGCGTTGGCGCAATCAAGGAATCAGGTGAGCTTGCTTAGTAGTTACTAACCCTTTTTATCCCCAGCTAGTTCATGTTCTTTTGTTGGGAAACATTGGTTTTAATGGATTTCATAGGGATTCCATGGCTAAAAACATGGTGAATTCCTGCAATCAAGCATGGTGAATTTTGTCAACGAAGAAAATTTTCCCCGGTTTACTAAATCAAAAGTCGCTCCAAATAGTATATAGGGTTATATTCTATCATAACTGGCCTCAGATTTGCAAAAACTGTGTTTTTTGTTCATCTTGGGTTTATGTTAAATTTCTAAGCGTGCTTCGAAACCGTGTTGATTCATTCTCCATTTGGTACGCTCCGGTGTCATCAAACATGGCTAGCTGGGAAATCGCCGAACTAAATAGAGGTTTCTAGCAATAAATATCATAAATGGACGATTTTTAATTGCCATACCATTTTTTGGGATTCAAAGACCAAAGCTGGAACAAATCGGCCCTTTCTCAGTGTTTCATCCAGCCTCCACATGGTGTCATTTCCAGCGTGTGAACGCTTTTTTTAAATCTTACCCCCACGGATTCCATATATATCAATATATTTACCTTGTCTACCCAACAGTTCTTGAAGTTTTCTCAACCAACTTCAAACTTCGAACATATAAATCAACTATAAATCTGAAATTGGGTGGCTTCAATCAACCATTTTCCACCATTTTTGATGCTTGGATCTCCATGGTTCTCCGTTCTCCAACGAACAACGAAAATCGCCACGGCGAGTTCAGCGCTGGGTTCTGCCGACGACCAATGGGCTGATGTCGTCCAGCAGTAGGGAGTGGCTTTTGGATGGATTCCTGGCGAAGCAGGGAATACGCAACGGAACCAACGGAAAAAACAGATATTTATTACACATGAGTTAGTCATGTTGTACATAGGAACATCAGAAATTGAATGAAAACCCGAGGAACCGGATGGAACCGGTCATTTTATATGAGTCGAAAAAACAATTTTCCAGAAGATGTTCCAGTGCCAGATTAACTTGCCCCTTGAAGGACACCTAAGGGTGATTCACAAATATGGAGTGCATCTTCACTTGTCCATTTAATCCGTCAATGACTACAACTACAGCTGTTGAGTAAGAGCTAGCCAACTACAAGTGTCCAAAAAGAGATCTCGCTTATAGCAAGCACCTTGGGGTTACCCCCCCAAGCCGCTACAAATGCTTGACATTGATGTGCCGCAACAACACGCCACGACCCGCTTGGGTCGTCCTGTTGCGATCCAAGAAGGCACCTTCCGGCATTTCCAGGACTGCCTTGCACAGGTCCAAACTTAGCTATGGCAAAAGAAAAAGTCACCCCGATACTGTGATACTGTGGATGGGCCTGCGAAATCCGAATCACCAGTGAAAAAAGGTGGTAAACATCCCATTATTTATACGGTTTCAACCATCCCAAATTGGTGGTTTATCGGATTTCGCAACGGCCCATCCACAGTAGGACATGACGTTTTGAGCGGTTGCCATTCGCTGGGATGACTGAAAACTGGCAACCACTCATTTGGTTTATGACCCTACATTTCTGGGTGATATTCAAGATTATTGTTCAAATCCCAAATTTGTGGATGGTTATACCATGTTACATGCATATCTGAAACCAACAGTCACTTATGGGATGTTGCACCCCATGTGTTAAGCGGTGAAAAACCAATTCATCACGGTAAAAATCTTAAAACCCACAAAGGATTTGGGTCTGAACATAGGGCACTCATGGGTACTCCATTCAACTGCTGGCCAGGAATTGGGATTCTTCCACCATTTTCAGACACACAATGAGTATTCCCATTGCATCCTCTTTGAGGCATATTCCCATGACAACCCATCATATCCAAACTGTTGCGCCTGGCATTTGGACTCGATCTCCCCACATCCTCGGAGCTGGTTTGATGCTCAAATCGAGATTTGATTCCCCTTATATACCTCATAAGATGGTTTGGAAAATCGGCTTCTTCATTGAAATCTTTGAAGTAGATGTTTAAATCATCCTTGGTTGGATTCAATTTCAAACAGCAATGAATCCAATCTTCTCGTTGCGATGTCACCTTGAAATTTCAAGGATGTTCACGCGTCAATATGTTTCACGAACAATTTTTACTCATAAGTCATTTTTTCGGTACTTAAAACCCCATTTCTTTCTGTCAAATCATTTTAGAGAAAAACACATCACCATCGCGTTCCTTATCCAAACTCTGGTGAAACCTGTATGATTAGTGGTAGAGAGAAATCCACATATTTCTAGATGGTCAATCACCGTTTCTATCCATATTTAGTGGTCACAAAAATTTGATGTTTGGGTTTAATCCTTCAAATCCACCAGCGTTTGTTGCTGAAAAAACCAGCGTTTTCGGTTTCTTTGGATCTTAAACCCCACCCCCCCATTTTTGGACGCGGTTCCTGCTGCCAGTAGTTGCTGATGGATCTGGAGCACGGCAGACTTTCCACCCGCCTGGGAAGTTAAAAATGGTGATGACAATGGAACATATAGGGGTTGACCATAAATATGGGGTGTGATTATAACCATTTATCATATGTAAAAAACAGGATTCATCCCAATCTATTCTAATTACATGGATAGAATGGCGATAATCATGGTGATAATAATACCCCCAGGTAGTAAATTTGACATGGGATGATCATGGGGATAATAGTGGATATATTGGATGTATACATATATGGGGATGGGACGGGGGTCACATTCGCCCCTAACCCAGGGGTCACATTCGCCCCTAACCCAAAAGGGGTCACATTCGCCCCTAAACCACAATACTTTCAATATGTTGCTCAACCTTTTAGGGTAAAACCTGGGGACAAGGGGACATTTAGGGGGACTGGGGGACCTTTAGGGGGGACTTGGGGGCATACGTGAACTTGCCCCTCTATTCAATATGTTACTCAACCTTTTAGGGTAAAACCTGGGGACAAGGGGACATTTAAGGGGACTGGGGAACCTTTAGGGGGGACTTGGGGGCATATGTTAACTTGCCTCTCTATTCAGTATGTTACTCAAACTTTTAGGGTAAAACCTGGGGACAAGGGGACAGTTAGGGGGACTGGGGAACCTTTAGGGGGCATTGGGGGCATATGTTAACTTGCCTCTCTATTGAAGTTGCCTGAAATCATTGTTACAACGTAGCATCCAATTGAGCGTCTTTGAACTTGCTTGAAATGCATGTTTCACCGAAGCATCCAGTGCATCCGTGAAGTTGCTTGAAATGCCTGTTGCCACGTCGCATCCAAAGCGTCTTCGCACTTGCTTGAAATACATGTTACACCGTGGAATCCAGCGCCTCCATAGCGTCCTAGAAGTTGCTTGAAATGGCTCTTGGAACGTAGCATCCAAAGCATCTTCGAAGTTGATTGCCATGGATGTTACAACGTAGCATCCATAGCGTCCAGGAAGTTGCTTGAAATGACTGTTACAACGTAACATCCAAAGCGTCTTCGAAGTTGCTCGAAATGGATGTTACAACGTAGCATCCATAGCGTGCTGGAAGTTGCTTGAACTGGCTGTTGGAACGTAGCGTCCACAGCGTTTTCGACGTTGCGCTTCCAACATAACACGTGAAAATGACTCTCTGAGGTGGAAAAGATCCTTTTGAGGCTCTGAAACTATTGCGCCTGCCACACAAAAGCAGGGGTCACATTCGCCCCCTAACCCAGGGTCACATTCGCCCCTATCCCCACTTCAGTTAGGGGCAAATGCGACCCCCGTGCCTATGGGGATAGTACTGGCATGCATAGTAGATGATGATTTAATGTGATTATTTAATGGGAGAATGGAGACCGGGGATATATATATATATATTATATAACCAACATGATGTGGGATACTTAGCAACTGGTAACCAACTGGTTATCTAATGGGATTATTTAATGGGATAATCATGGAGATACGGGAGATATGGGACTGGCTGCTAAAGCTTGGGAGAATAATTTTTGAAGCAGCTGGTACATATCAAATCTCAATGGGTGATATATTGATTCAATGGGATATTCAATATTCGTATCAATCTCAATTTTTGAAGCAGCTATTACCAGTAAAAAGGCTGATTCAATGGGATTTTTGTTGGGGTCCAAAAACAGGGGATGTGGGCCTTTTGTTATCAACTTGAGATGGGAGATCTCCTACTTCACTGGTTACAGGATGGGGCCCCCGTTCGAGCGATGGCGTTCAGAAACGCCGAAAAAAAGTGGCTGAATTCGATTGGGTTTATGGTAGATATAACGAACTAGTTAATGGGGATTATAATGGTTTATAAACCTATATACATATATATATAGTTTTAATTCGTTTGTAATGGGCAATAAGGATAAACAATAAAATGGTGACTTAATGGGATATATTCGGGATAACGATGCGGATATGATGGGATATGATGGGATATGGCCTATATAAGCAACATGATATTAGCATAGTGGGATATACATGAGAATATACTGGGTATATAGAACTTAACCAACTAACAAAGGTCATTCAAGCAACAGAAATAAGAGATATAATAGCACATACCTGGATATTTTATAATCAACTCAATATGTGCCATGGTTAAGTCACGCATTCACGGATTATTGGGTTATGGTCACCCATTGCTGTGGTAATCCCCTTCCAATCTCCATTCTGCTGTTTGGGATGCAAAATCGAAACAGATCGTGGATTTGACCACCAATTGCACCCGGAAGCTCTTCGGCATCTTTTCGCGGACTATCAGTGGTGAGTAAGTTTTACACTCAGCAGTAAATTTTATAATCGGCTTTAAGCAATGTGGGAAGTTTCCCACCCACCGAAAAAATATTACTAACCATCCCAAATATGACCGTGAATGGGTGGTATAAATAAACAATCCATTGGCCTTTCCACATTGCCCATAGTTAGGGATCCTCCGACACTAAAGAAGAGTTTTGTTTGGCAGGTATATATGTTATAAACAGGGGAAGAGATTCATTGGTTATGAATAGGTCGCACGATTACATCACAAGTAGACTAAGTAGACATAAAATGATATAAATAGCAAAAATCACAGATTCATTGTAAATCCTTGGTAGTCCAAAAAAAATGCCGTGTTTTTTTTTCCATTGATAGCAAGAAACCAAAGGATAAAAAAAAACCTCTCCAAGGTGGGGGATGAGATCACCAGGACTAGTGCCATCATTTTAAAATTACCCTCTGGTAAATTAACATAGACCCTGGTAGATAGGGGTTGGAAGATTAGTTTCCTCTAACAATTGGTGATTTTCAGGGTCTATGTTTATTTACCAGAGGGTATCTAAGATGATGATTTAGGACTAGGTCATCATGGCATGTTTTTTATGGTTCAAGACCATTTTTTCGAATCTTGGAGTAGCGGGAACCAGGTCCCAGATCCGAAGTCCCAAGGAGTCCCTAGCCTCCATGAACATGGTGCCAGGCTTTGTCAAGTTTACCTCACGACGCATGGAAAATCCATGGGGAACATCACCGAGAAATGGTTTATCATGGCGAAAACAATGGGACCCATGATCTATACCCTCTGGGAAACGTTTACAAAAAACTATGGAAAGATCCACCATGCTATTATTAGGTAAATCAACGAACCAAATATCCATTTTCAATAGCGTTTTGTATGTTTACCAGAGGGTTTCTATGGGGTGTTTCCAGCCAGCCATGGTGACCATTTTTCGTATCTCATTTGTCAGCCGTGCTGATTCGGATAGGACTTTTCAGAAAATGCCGCGGCGTGAATCCGCATTCCTGCAGCATCCCTGGCAAATTCATTCCATAATATCCATAATATCCATAATATCCATAATATCCATAATATCCATAATATCCATAATACATCTAAATATATCTCAATACACAATATACAGACTATACACTGTACGTTCCGTCTTCGCAAAAGGCCGCGGATTTTTCAACCCCCATTGACTTCGATGATTTTCGGTTGGGATTTCCCAGCGGCCGAGCGAATCAAGGACAGCTTTTTGGGTACTGAATCAAGGCCAAAGTGAACAGTGAGACATCTCTCTCCCCCTCTCTATGTATATATATATATGTATAATACATACATATTTAACGTATATATGCATATGTTTTTAGAATTATATATATATATATAGAATCATATAGATACAGGTAGATATATAGGTAGAACACCATGAGAATAGGTCAACACTCTCAGGTCTGCCCGGTCCGGCACCTCGTAATGCTGCACCGAATAAAATCCCTCCTCTTGCAATCTCCTGTGACGTGGAGTACATTAAGCATCCAAAAAGATGTAGAAAATCACTTGGACACCGAAATTATGGGGAAAACATTGTCAATCTTTGATCCTCAACATCAACAACAACAACAAGAAGAACAACAACAAGAACAAGAACAATAACAAGAACAAAAACAAGAACAAAAACAAGAACAACAACGACAACGGCAACGACAACAACAACAGCAACAACAACAAGAAGAAGAAGAACAACAAGAACAAGAACAAGAACAAGAACAAGAACAAGAACAGCAACGGCAACGGCAACGGCAACGACAACGACAATGACAACAACGACAGCAACGACAACAACAACAATCTGTTCTTTGGCTGGTTGGCCGGTTATTTTACATTGATAGCAACAAAATCAAGGATTCAACTACCCACCAAGGTTGGGGATGAAACTATGGAAAAACATCATCGAAATACCATCCCGACAATACTTTACCATCTTTTTGGGGCGTGACTACATCCTTCACTCTTACACAAGGTCAGCGAAAATCTGCCGATTTAATGCATAACTAAATGATATTTCAGTTAATTATCTCTTGAATTATGTTATAATCATTTTATTAAACAGGATTTCAAACACTCGGTTTGTTATCCCCCAAAATGGCATCAATACATTGGGCAAAGGCAATTGAGCCTTCCTCAGTCCAGTTCTTCTGCTCCGCGGCAATCTCTGCCTTCTCTTGAAGGCGAACGGGCAAATGGGCACTGGTTCGCCGGCGACACCAACTTTTTGTATCCAGCAAATTGTTCTCCATGCTTCCTTTTGATTCCCTTCTCCATCTCGGTGTACCATTCCTCCTGAAGGAATTTCAAAGCGTCTGATTTCTCGGGAAGTTGCAGCATGGAAATTAGGACTCCTATTTTCCCAACAGATGAATATCTTCAATGGCTTGATGGATCTCCATTCTCGTCCTCTGGTAGGTTCTCGTCGAAAAAATCTCTGACCTTTCTTGTGAAGCCTTGCCAGGTCGGACGTTCAAGGCAGTTCACCACGACTTTGAGGCGTTTTGATCTCGTTTGCTTGACCCGTTCGTCTGCCTCTCTGTTACACCACCACCAGAGTTACTTACTCCTGAAGGCAAGGACGATCGAGAAATAGAAAGACCGGGGCAGGAGCCACTCCACGAATACCCAGGGGAAGATTCCTTCCTTACGTCCGTGCGCTTAAACTTCGTTGGAGGAAGCTTTACTGTGCCGAATGGTCTCAGGAGAAAATAAGCGAAGGCAACAGCTCTCTCGAGCTTATTGGAGGTCTGGACCCAATCTGCCCCGAACCCAGCTGAATTTTCATGATTCATCGACCTGAGGCAAGCCATTTGTGCTTATCTTGATACACTTTAAACCCATTGTAAGGAGGGATTTCATCATCAATTTCCTGCACAAAAATCCATTTGAAATTAGTATCGTTACAGATGTTTTTTTTTTGCTTTTCTTGAATCATTATTCAATACTTTTTGGACCAGATTTCCCAGGGATAGTTTGATCTAAATCGGAATAGGCAAGCGAAGCCAAGAATTTTAGCTGGTTAGGTTCTACATCCACTGGGAAGGTCCCCATGTTATATATTGTTATATTACATCCCGTTCTGTGCGATATCCCCATAATACATTGCCATCATATTCCCAGCAGAAAAAAACACAATTACACCCATTATCTCCCCAGCATCAATAGGCTTTATACCCAATTTTCTTGCCAGAGAAATCCCCACAGAAAGCAGTTACCAGTACATGTAGGATCATCCTTATTAACTGGTTAGTAAGCAGAGAAATGTAATCCATTTAAATGTCCGACCCCGGGCTTTCAATCACCGTTACCCACCAGTTATGGTAATTGAACAGTCTCTGGTTGGTGGTTTCAACCCCTCTGAAAAATATTAGTCAGTTGTTCACACAAGGCGGGAGGCGTTCTCACTCGCAGCACGCGGTCACGCAGACCACGGGCATCGAAGAAACGAGACTCGCGTCGGAGTCATCAAGAAAAGAGAAAAAAGAGTGATCAGCTGATTGAATTAAAAAGAAACTTCCAGTTAGACAGGACATGGTTTCGACCCACGAAAGCAACCCCAAGCATGCGATTGGCAGGAAAAGACATGGCAATCTTCCCGCCCTTTATGTAGCCTGAAGTATGGACTTTTCCATCACTTGGGATTATTATTTCCAATCTATGGAAAAACATGTTCCAAACCACCAACCACTTCTCTATTGATAATCAGCATCTTGAATGGGTAAATCATCGAACTAAATGGTCAAACTATGCTTTCCACAGCTTGGTCTTTCCATTGCCGGGGGTACGATCCGTGGGATGATCCTCCAAGTACAAGGTGAGGCCCCCCAGTTATGTTTGTTTTATGTTCACCCATCAAACTATCATTACAACTGCCATAAACCCTCGTGAAATTGGCGTTCAGCAACTTAGCTATCATAACACCGGCTTATCCATTAATTATCTAATATCTATCAATTAATCATCCAATATCTATCCATTAATCATGCAATATTTATATCCAATATCCAATATTTATCCAGTAACTACCCTCTGGTAATTTAACATAGCTATTGAACATGACCATTTATAGTTGAATTACTCATAAAAACATGGTGATTTTCCATAGTCATGTTAGTTTACCAGAGGGTATCCATTCACTATGCATTGATTCTTGATCTCAACCGTTTTCGCCTGCTGGGTCTCAGTATCTCCAGGCCGGCCACCAGCATCTTCGCCCGTGCCTGCGATGGATGTTTTGGTAGGTGGTTGAGCCACCCCTCTGAAAAATATTCGTCAAATGGGATGATTATTGCCAACATATGGACAAATAAAATTCATCTTCCAAACCACCAACCAGTGATAAATGGAATATGACGGAATATGTTTTCAGTTTGATTTTGATATTTTGATGTCCGTAACGACTTTCATGGACTATTCTTACTGTAGATTTTGATGGCGTATCGGGAGGTCCACTGCCAGGGGATGGGGTGACATCTGTTCAAATGTCCGGGGCAGGGCTTGTAGAGATATTCATACAATTATCCTAAATTCCGAGGTAACTAGTCAATGAATTTTGGGGCTTCAATCATTTCGATTCATATTCAGTTCAAGTAGCTTTGTCTGAAAATTACGGTAGCCCATTCAATCCAGTCGTTCATCACAATTTTACCTATTGATATAGCCATTTGGGTCAATCCCCCATTTTCGGACAAGCAAATCATCATGATTGTTGGTTTGTATAGCCCATTATATTCCCATACACAAGAACGTATTATATAGAAATCATATACCCAGTAATGTGGGTAAAGCAATGCCATAAACCACCCATGACTGGAATGGTTTGTACCACTTAAGAATGGTGATTTGGGGGATGGTTCATGGCATTGTTTTACCCACATTATATCCCATATAACTCTTGCTTTGTATCTGACTGACTCACCAGAGACGGTGATGCCATGCGCCTTTGAGACCCATTCGCTGAAGTGCAAGCGCAGCTCCCCCAAACCATCTCGCCTCAGAGGGAGCTAATTCCCGAAGATAAACTGGGGATATGGATATGTAACATGTATTGTATATGTGTAATTATATACGTATATACAGTATATATATATGTATTAGTATAAATGTATATACAGTACATTTAGACACACACACACACTATATATATATATACACATACAGTGTATATATATATATATTATACATACGCTAATAATTGTGATTTGATGTGCTTCAGTGAGCGATTCATCGCGAAGTTAGTAAAGATAATGATAAATTACTGTTGCGTAGACAAGGTAGATATCTAATTAGTTTTCATAGGGGTAACATAGACCAACCCACATTTCAATAGGGGGGACCACTTTGCACAGTCGTAGTTGCGCTGGATCATATTATAGCAACCCCCAAAAGGATAGAAATGTGTTTCCGAGATGGTATAGATAATGTTTCTCCACCCTATTTTGCAGGTTTTCAACTTTTTGACCTTTTTGGTGGTCACTATAGCTGTCTCTATAGCTTGTGCATACGATCATCATCCACTTCTCTGCTGTTTCCAGGCCCCAACATCTCGGCAGAGACCACTTCTGGCCGTGCCTCATGATGACCAGCTGGCTTTCAACCCAGATCATGGTCAATTTAGATCGTCTGAGGTGGGGGTGGTAGGTTTCAACATGTGAGGGTTTCCATAAATGGAGGTACTGTACCCGAAAATGGATGGTTTATAAGGGAACATCCCAATCTAAAATGGATGATTAAGGAGTACCACTATTTCAGGAAACCTCCATCTTCATTCTGTTTGAAACTACCAATCGGTCATGGTATCGGCAACGCTTCAGTACACCCGCCCCCTGACACCAGGTGGGGCCCCCCGCGAAATCAACCGCTAAGTTGCTAGGCTTCATGGGGTTTCTATCGTCGTTTTGTGGCTTCAAAGGTTATGTATATTATAAACCATCTTGTAACTATAATAACTGTTGCTTTTTCTGGGGTTCTATCTATAGATATCTCTAGTTGTTTTGGGGCTTCAAAGGGGTAAGCAACAAACACGACTGCGGGGGATGCCACCGGCCTCATCCTTCAATGAGATACGTCCAGCCAGCTCTGCTGCACTGCCTGGACGAAAACATGATGACTATGGCCCCACTTGGGAAATCTCCAAAGGGAAAATTGTTCATTGCCATGTTTGACTACCAGATTATACTTGGATGATACTTGAATTGGAGGTACCTACCACAGATAAGCTCTTGATATGGCCTATGTACAGGAATATTCCCCCACACAGTCCATCCAATTTGATCAACTCATTTGACTAGAGTAACAATGACAATAACAACATATTTTTATTATGTAACAATATTAACTATTGTTATAATACTATCATTGTTATATTGTTATCTAACTGTTATTTGATTATATAAAACAATATTTGACTATGTAAGAAGTATAGTTATAACATTGACTATATAACAATAAATCAATCATTTGACTATATAACATTGATTTACCAAGTGCTTCAACATTGCAGAACTCAGGTATCTCCGGCCGTGACAAACCCAGATCTCATAATTGATCATATCCAACTCTATACCGTTTATATTCCATATCTCCACATCCATATATTTTCTTGGTCATTCCCTTTTTTGGCTGACCCCCCCAACATATGCATACAGATACAAGCCATCCAAAAAAATAGAATAGTAATTTCAGAGTATTTTTTCACGATATATTCTACTAGGATCTTACGAACTTTTATCTTGTTGGGGGTTGCTACATGTATACGTATGTATCGAAACCACAGAAATACACACACAAATATATACATATGTATATACACGTCGAATTACATATACATTATATATATACACTCTCTGGTAATTTAACATAGCTATTGAACATTGCCCATTTATAGTTGATTTACCCATTAAAAATGGTGATTTTCCATAGTTACGTAAACGTCTACCAGAGGGTATACATGCTGCAGGGCATTTTCCCGGCTGCAGAGAATTTCCGGGCCTTTTCGGTAGCACTGAGATGTCAGGCTTCGCATGTCTTCAGTACGACCCATTTCCTCCAGATCGCTGTCAGGACCTGAACGTTGAAGCAGCAAGACATGGGATTACCCTCTAGTTATGACTAACGGTTTGCCATGGACAGACCCAACCATTTTTAATAGGTAAATCAACAAACAAGTGGGTCATTTCCCATGGCTATGTTAAATAACCAGAGGGTAACTATAGCTATCCAGAACTATCTATAGCTATTGATTTATGGATAGCAATCCCATGGATACTTAATGGATAGCTATTGATAGCTATATCCATGAAAAAAAAATGGTGGAATGGTGGAATGGGATGACTACTAATGGTTATTAATGGTTATGATGGGGTGATTATGGATAGTTATGCATATTTTATCTATAGCTATCCAGAACTATGCATAACTATCCGTGCGGGGGGTTCACAGGACGGTATTTTCACCCTTGAAAGCCACAATCCCTTGTGCCTATCAGAACTATCTTGATGCTACGTTAACAGGATCTTCTCTTGCACTTGCTAACTATTTTGATGCTACATTAACTAACAGGATCTTCTCTTGCACTTGCTAACTATTTTGATGCTACGTTAACAAGATCTTCTCTTGCACTTGCTACGAGGCCCAAAGCCAGCCTTGTGGGCACACGCAGGTGGAATCGATTGCACGTGGAAGAAAGACAAAGATAAGATTTCACTGAGCATTCATGCTAGAAAACAAAGATTTGATGGCCTACGTGCAGCAGTCAGTGGCAGTGGCGCTCAAGGCACAGCAGAGACTGCGTGCGTGCTGGGAGAGCGACTGCCAGGCAACTGCAAAAGCAAGTGAACATGTGAGGGTAAAAAGTTGATCGACAAAGGGTTCCAAAACTATGATAACACGCGATTGCCCCAAAAACATGACGCTTTTGAGCATTTTTATTCAGCATGTCAAAAGGCAATTTTCGTTGGAATTAACATATCAAAATGAAGTAATTTTAGCATCACATTTTGGTGATTATTCCAACAATAGGGGAACAGTCATCGACAGTGTGGGATGTCCTGTTTGTTGTCGCCACATCCGATTCTTAGTTCCAGTAAGAAAAGCACACAGGACCCCCAGCAGACTTCACGGAAAAATCACGGAAAATCCATGAATACTTCAGTGGATATCCCATAACTTTATCTTTAAAGCCCTATCTGATGGACATATCCATAGGATTTCCAGTTGAATTTCCAACATCCCAACCCCTAAGGCTCCAACTGGCAAGCCTTCTGGAACCTAGCTCAAGTGGTCATCAATTCACCCAAAGGTACCTCTGAGAAGGGATTAATTACTTCCCCCGGAAACTGAAAAGCCAAACCCAAAAATGTGCCCTGAAAGATGATAAAACATCAGCATTTTTCAGCCGGACTTGGCATTTTCAAAGGCTTCATGTACCTTTTTGGGGGACTTATTTGCATCGCTTCACATGCCAGGTGCACTGGTGGCATTGCTCCCATTGGAGTCGTTGGCACTGGTGTTCTGGATCTCGAAAGAACCTAAATCCTTGGTACGGGGCCCAACTTGGGGGTTCACACCCCAGGAGGCGCTGGTCCAGTTGATTCACAGTCAATGGGCTTACTGGGAACCATGAGAAAATTGAACGGATGTTCGGAGTTCCTCAATCAATCACAAACTGAATCAAACTGAATCAACCACATTTACTTTAATTGGTCCGATATCCTTTGAACTTTTCTTACATGTTTGTTGGTTCCAATTGACAGGTCGATTTATCCAGTCGTCCTGCTTGTCCCAAAGATTGGCCATATCCTCGTGAAACACGTGCCATCGATGGTTCTGTGGCCATTCCCAGTTCATCTTCAATGCAAAACTGGTTGGTGGTTTCAACCTACCCCTCTGAAAAATGATGGAGTGAGTTCGTCAGTTGGATGACATTCCATTCCCAACTTTTCATGGAAAGTCATAAAATTCCATGGTTCCAGTCACCACCAACCAGTCATTCCCTGGCAATTCCGCAACGACGGGTTCAGGGTTATCCCCTCTACAGCCTCTACAGGTCAAGTCTGTCATGCTCCGCATGCTCCGCTGAGTACCCGACAAAGAAGTTGGGATCATTGTAGTCCAACGGGTTCAAATCGCTTGCATTGGCCGTCAACATTGCGGTCTGCGGCGGGAACATCGTGGATGGTGTTATGGCTGATATGGGATGGTGGAATGTTTGCTGATTTATGCTAACTGTTACCCTCTGGTAATTTAACATAGCTATTGAAAATGACCATTTATAGTGGATTTTCCCATTAAACATTGTGATTTTCCATAGTTTTGTTAGTTTACCAGAGGGTATTCCATGAAGTGCTTTGATATACCATAAAGCCAGCAGTCATTGGAGCTGTATCCATTCAGAAACACTCTCTTTTTTGATTCGTTGAATCTCCATGATTCTTGGGTTATCCACCAATCTCCAGCACCACCTGGCGGAACTTCACCGTAACATCGAGTTACTCGAATTGGTACAGATGGGTTTGTCTGAAAAATAGGGATACCCCCAACTTTAAATTGAGAGAAAATGTATCACCCTTACTAGATTGTCATTTTACCATCTAGTTAAATTACCATCTTGTTAGATATTGTCTCGTTGGTGGTATACCTATCCCTCTGAAAAATATGACTTCGTCAGTTGGGATGATGATTCCATTCCCAACTTTTCATGGAAAGTCAGTCAAAATTCCATGGTTCCAGTCACCACCAGCCAGTAATGGATTGTCATCATCATCCTTATCAAAATTTCCGTTGATAAACCCATGATTGACTTCCCATTGGGAGCCCAACTCGTGGGTCCCAAGAAATTCGGGATGTCTTTCAGGGGTTTCATAGCTATAGGGATCACAAATGATTACAAGCCATAATTACTGGTGCGTTTTACGTAGGGTTGCTGGATGGGTTGCTGGATGGGTTGCTGGGGGTTGCTGGGATAATGAAATTGACAGTTAGCCAGTGGATCATTCCCGAAAATTCCCTACGTTTAGCACCAGTAAGATAAACATGGGGATCCCAATTACAATCAATTATTCACCCTGAAGCGGATGGTTTCAATGGTTTCAGGCCTTCATTTTCTCACCATTGGCCCATGCCTGCATAAAACTTCATCTTTATCTGGTTAGCACATATTCCCATTTAAAGCAATATACTGAAGTAAACTAGTCATTCAAAGTTGCCGAGTACCTCTATGTGCTATGATTCAACTTTTGATTGTAGTTATAGTTGGTCGTATATCCTATTGTATTCCACAAAAAAAGGAATAGTATATTATATAATACAACTAATTATATAATATTAGTATATTATATTATACAACTATTCAGGTCGTATATCCTAATTATTATACTAATCTGGCTGAATTAGTGTTCTATTCACTGACCTGAGAATAGCATCATCCCATTTGGGGATGATCATTTCAGTGACGACACGGTGAGGTCATTAGAATCTATCCGTTGCTGATTAAGATCCTTATAGAAATGCTTGTGAATATCATCGTTCTCATATATATATGTATATCTATGCAAAATATGAAAATATCTATGTCATATCTATTACATTCCACTAATAGCATATTACA